CATGGCAGCCTCGCTCCTCCTTCAAATGTACTAAGCTCATTTTTATGTTAAACTTATTCTACAATTTGTAGCATCCTAAATGTGTAAAAGAGCAAATGTTCAAAGTATATAATACACACACATACACACAAAGCCCTATGGTGTGTAGATATACACTATGCATTTGTGCACACCAAATTTTGTCCACTTGTAATTCCTTGCATGTTGCTTCTGTCTTAAATTTACTTGTACTTCTAGCTTAAACTGTGTGGAGACTGTTGCTGCTTGAAAATTCTCTGTGGACAAGAATTACTTAAATAATATTTGCAAATAGAGAGCATAGCTCTGTCAGCAAAAAAATAAAACCAGGAACAAAAACAGGTTCCCAGTTTGACAACAATATTTATTCTTTTAAGATTTAGAGTTCCTAACACATTGCATAAGCATTATTATTTTTAATGACACAGAAATGAACTCCATACAGAACACACCTAAAATATGTTTGTTTACTATTTACTATTAACACTGACTTCATAAATTACCATCCTTGAAGCCCTCGATAAACAATTTGATTGTATAAATAGTTTTGGCAGGACTTGGTCCATCCCATAAAAACAATAAAGATAGCTTAGAAACTATTTTATTGATATCAAATTAAGATTAGTTTGTAAAAACAATGTGCAGATTCTTGTTAGGTTTATCATCAGCCTGCCATCACTTATAAATTAAAATGAATGGCACATAGCTCATTAGCTAGATTCCTCATGGCAAAGTAATTTTCAGCCCCTCCTTTCCAGCAGTTTAAAATAATTAAGATAATTTTTTTTGTGTGTTATGCCAGTACTGGAACTTGAACTCAGGGCCAACAGTAATTTGAGATTTTTCAGGACAAACATATTAGGAATATACATTAAATCCTGGCACTGGGGGCTCATGCCTATAATCCTAGCTACTCAGGAGGCTGAGATCTGAGATCAGGTTTCAAAGCCAGCTCGTGCAGGAAAAGCTCTATCTCCAATTAACCACCTAAAAACTGGGTGTGGAGCTGTGGCTCAAAGTAGCCGAGCATTAGCCTTGAGCAAGAAAGCTCAGGGACAGGACCCAAGCCCAGTGTTCAAGCCCCACTGACAACAACAACAACAACAACAAACACATTAAAGGTGGATGGGAAACATAAATAAAATGGTTTGATTTCTCTATGCAAGCATTGATCTCTCCTACGATCCAAATTGCTGATGCCAAAGTAAATTGCTTAAGCCCAAACTAAATTTAAAAATAAGAAGTCTTTTTCTCTAAATATTTAGAAAATGGTACAACCTCAATCTTCCTTTGAAAAATTATTTGTCTTGGCTAAAGGAATTCTAATTGTTGGACTGCACTAGTGATCACTTTGCTGAGCCCCAAGGAAACAAGCTAATGAACTGGATGAACAAGAGAAATAGGAATAACTACAGCACAAGCATGCCCATCATGTTTACACACCTCACTTACTGAACATAGACCCCACTTGTTTCTTCTCACACTGAAAAATGGCCTGCCATGGATAATAAGTGAAGTGGCCACTCAACTTCAACATACTTCACAGGTATTATCACACATCATCCCTGAAAATGTCATCATGGAATGTGCCTCTACACTCATAGAAAAATATGCACAATGAAAACAATTCTGTAATTATGTCATGTTTTTAGGCACGCGAAATATGATTTCAAATTATAAAAAAACATATCTGTACATTACACTTTTGGAAAAAAAGAAAAAGCGACTATCAAAACCAACAGGCTCTATAAAGAGGAATGAAAAGGCACATTTCCTCCTCCCCTTGCTCATCTCCCATCTGTTGCTCTGGCAGATTAACATATTTACCTAATGTTCTCTGTATTACAAAAAGTACTCTTGAAATTATTTCTATCAGGTTACTAACACCATTTAACACCTTTTAAATTAACAGCTACAAAATACAAACTGTTAACACAGTTTAAATTAACAGTGACATCAAAACTCCTTTTCAGTTAGCCAAAATGCTAGGTTGGCATCAAAGGAGAATGGTTTTGTCACTAACTAGCCATGTGACTAAGACACCAATTCCTCAGGAACTCCATTTTTTTCTATAAAGCGTCAGGGTTGGAAGGTACAGTCCAGCATCTATCAATGGCAATGTAGCACCTTATCTCCTTCCTTTTGAGGCAGTGCAGTTCCCTGTCATAGAAATAAAGGACTTTTGGATACGCAAAGGCATATATAAAGATTAAATGAAGAGGGTAGTGATCAGGTACATGACATCTGTAAGAGTTCATTGGCCCTCATCTAAGCTCCAGGGACAAGTGCTGATCCTCCTCCAAGAGATTTTCAAGAGGATGAATATCAAAGACATCAGTTTTTTACTGCTGACTCCACTGTCAACAGGAATCCAAGCCTACTTCTCTTATGTCAAACAGTCTGCCTTGGTCTCCCACCTTCCAATCTTGGCTTCTTACAATCCGCTCTCTATACCAAAACTAACAATGACCTGAAAGATGAACTGAATCACTAGCTCTCATCCTAAAATCCTCCAATGGGTGCCGACTGCCAGCAGAAAACCCACTCTTTCGTAGGTGTAGGGGCTCCCATTTACCTTATTTGGTACCATAATCCTCCTGGCTTACCAGGATGCTACCCCAATGGTGTTTCTTATCCTTCCCCAAAGAGATAGAGCTTGTTTCACGAGCTTAGGCTTTTCACTACTTTTTTCTCATCTGGAGTACTTTCTTGAAGGGCTTTTTATGTAATTGATGCTTTCAGGTAGGTCTCACTTTAACTGTAGCTTTGCAAAATTTAAAAGCTGACCACTCCCAATTTTTAGCATCCCTCCCCCACTACTGTCAACAAATTCACTCTCAAAACTCAATTTTGTTCTTTCTAACAAACTAACTCATTTGACCAAACAGTATTGCTTCTCTCCCTCAGTCTTGGATCAGAGTCCTACCTCTTGTGTCTAATTCCCTTCTATGAACAACACCTCCCATGCTGTAGAAGGTATACAACAGATATTTGTTGATCACATACAATACTAATTTCAGCTCAATTATTTGAATTCTGTAAACAGAAGACAGGGAAGGGAAATCTCCATAGATTTAAAGATAGAGAAGACACAATTCTCATCACAGCTAAGAGATTAGTAAAACAAATGATGTTTAGTAATATTTACTATTTTATTGTATATATTAATATTACTATGTACTGGACTCAATGCAAACCCTTCACAAATTTTACTGCATTTCATCCTCAAACCAATCCTCAGAAGTAGATTTATTATTACCTTCATAAACAAGAGTACAAAACAAGCTTAGTAACTAACCTCCACAAGGTCAAACAGATTCTAAGTAGCAGAATGAGGATTTTTGTGGCCTCTAAGAATTTCAAGGCAACTAGTTGTAGTTGACTAGAATTCATTTTCCCTCCCCTACTCCTATTTGACAAAATCTATTCCTCCTTTGGAGTTCTCTACCTCAATAGATGTATACCTAGAAGGCACACAATCACTACCTAGAAGGCACACAATCACTCAAATTAGAAACCTGGGATCATCATTGATTCCCCTCCCCCCCCTTCCCTCATATTCCTCAGTCACATCCTGTTGTGGTACTTCCCCCTCTACTTCTCTGCATTTTCTCTTGGTGGAATTTCAACTTGGCCTGTGGTCCCCTACACTCATTAGGACTACTGCAGCAGTAGTTGGTACACAAGATGCACATAGTGAGAAGCATCAACTCTGGAGACAGATGCCTGGTTTAAATTAGGAGTAATTTACTACTCATAATGATATCATGTTACTTAATCTTTTTGGGTGGCATTTTCATTCATAAAATTGGGACAAACACCACCTGATATGCAGTCTAAGTACTATATAAATGTTCGTTATAGAGAGGTTATTTAATTAGCAGTCCGTCACTTTCCCTTCCCCTTCATCATTCTTCACTCAGTACTACTGCATATGTGTGTGTTAAAAGCAAATCTGGGGCTGAGGATACTTTAGTGAGGATATAGTTTACTTGCCTAACATGAATGAGACTCTTGGGTTTGATTATCAACACAGGAAGAAAAAAAAAAGCAAATCTGAGTACACCATACCAATGTTTAAAATGTCTAACAGCTTTCCACTGCACTTTAAAAGCTATGGCTCATAACTTTCTAACTTCTAGTCAATACTGGTCAGTTATCTTTTAATCTTCCAACCTGCACTCCCCATCTATGCAGGCTATCTACATTTGTCTTCAAAAACAGAATTAACAATAAATTTTTTAACAATAAGGTACAGGTGGCTCATGCCTATAATTCTGATACTCAGAAGGCTCAAAGCCAACCAGAGCAGGAAAGTCTGGGAGATTTCATCTTCAATTAACCAACAAAAAGTCAGGCTGGAGGTGTACCTCAAGCAGTAGAACACCAGCAGTGAACTGAGCTAGGCAGAGGCCCCTGAGTTCAAGCCCCAGTACTGGGGGGAAAAGGGCCAACGTTTTTTTTACTCCCTCCCTCCAGGAAGGCTTTCTAGTTGCCCCCAAACACTCTACTGTGTAGCTTTATAATTGTTGTATGTTGTATAGCTCTCTACTTTGTACTTCTCCCATGCTAACATTTGCAACCCTTAAAACTAGTGAGCTGGTGGCTCATGCCTATAATCCTAGCTACTCAGAAGGCTGAGATCTGAAGTTGGGAAAAAAATCGCCATGAGACAATTTCCAATTAATCACTTAAAAACCAGAAGTGGAGTTGTGGCTTAAAGTGGTAGAACACTGGCATTGTGCAAAAAAGGTCAGGGACAGCGTGCCCAGGTCTTGCATTCAAACCCTGAGCAGACAAAATAAGAAAACTAAAACTAAAATTAACACACACACACACACACACACACACACACACACACACACACACACACCCCTAGGTCTTGCATTCAAACCCTGAGCAGACAAAATAGGAAAACTAAAACTAAAATTAACACACACACACACACACACACCCCTAGTAATTCAATGTATGGCTCTCACCAGAATGCAATTTTAGGGGAGAAAAAGGTTTGCCTGATGGCGCTGGGCTGTGTAAATCCCAAGTAGGATAAATAGCTGCTGAAAAAATAAAACTGAAATACAGCAGAGTTAAATTTCCCCATGAAGTTCCAGGGCCCTTCTCTGCTACTTACCCAAGATCTTGTCACTGTTCACCCTAAATCATCTGGCTTCTTAATCCACATTAATTCCCCCGTGGGTCCCCTACTCCCTCAGAAAGAAGTTTCTCCACGGGGGCCTCTAGTTTACCCTATCCTCAAATAGCTTTTCCACATACCCAGCTGCCAAAGGACCTGCTTTTTCCTCAACTGCCCGTTACGCCTGCCCATCCTTTCCTACCATTCCGTTCCCCTATTTCTGCTCGGTTCCATGTGTCCACAAACCCAGCCCTCTACCCCCCTCACTGCAGACGCCCAGGCCGCCTTCCCCACTCCCACGGCCTTCCCGGATCTTCCAGGTACAGTGCGGGACCGTGCTTCGGGAACGCCCACCCTCACCTAGTTCACCCAGACGCCGGCCCGCCCCTCCCCGTTCTCCCCGATGTCGGCGGGCCCTTTCCCACCGGTCCAGGGCCGGTGTCACCCCCGGAGCCTCCGCACACAGCCCCAGCCTCGTGGCGCACTCCTCCTTCCCGGGCCTCCGCTGGAGGCGGGCCACACCCCTCGGCACCCCGCCCGGGACCCCCTCCGACCCCCCGCCCCGACGCCGGGACCCCG